TCAGTGTTGTCCATAGACACCTCCAAGGACATGTGGCTGACATGACTGCGTGGAGCGTCATTACTTACCTGCCAGAGTGGTACCTATTGATTTACTTACATTTGCATGTTTTTGAACTGCTAGGTTGGCAGAAGCTGGGGCTAACAACAGGAGCTCACGCTGCTCCCCAGATTCGAACCTGCGACCTTTCAATCAACAAGTTCAGCAGCTCAGCACTTTAACCCACTGGGCCACCGGGGGCTCCAATAAATAATAATAATAATAATAATAATAATAATAATAATAATAACAACAACAACAACAACAACAACAACAATAATATAGTCTCACAGCTCAAGGTGGGGCACAACATAGTTAAAACACATCATCATAAAAAATCAGTATAATAAATATATTAAAATATATTTCTATACAATACACATATTACATGGACCTGAGCTGTAAATAACTTTATTGTTCATAAGCAGGACTTGGAATTGCTTCTGGAAACAAAATAGTAAGTAGAAGCGTTGTTGCAAGCAGTTGTGTGCTCCTTGTATGCAGTCCTGCACAATAATGTAGCTGTAGCTCTTTGAACCAACTGATATTTCTGAACATTCTTCAGTGTGGCCCCAAATAGAACACATTGCAGCAATCCAAACAAAAACTAGCTAAATATGCCCTGACATATATCTAAATGGATGAAACTGGCACATGAGCTTTCCTGAGACAATCTAGCTAAAGTCAACATATTCCTAATGTCAGAATAAAGCTGGGTAATTTACATTCACCTTTTAAAGAATTCATTGCAGAAATTGTAATATATCTGCTGCTAGTTGTTCTGCTATTCTATTTTTTCTACTAAGAAATATTATTAATTGTTTAAGCACTGAATCTTTAAGAATAACCTAGAAAGCAGTATCATGTAGAGAGAAATAATGTTTAAACATATGCCTATTCTGTGAATGTACCTAAAGTGCCTGTTTACATACACAGGGCAATTGCAAATGAACACAGTTCTACATATAATTGGTCACCCAGAATAATGCGCAAGAAATGTTCAGAAACTGTCCACAGGAAAGAGCAGCACTTTCCACCCCCTCCGATCCACCCACAGAAGATTTTCTAGTCAAAAATGTGTGTGGGCGGTGGCTGCTGCTGGATTGATTTGATTTTCAAGTATACTCTGAACGCTCAAAAAGAAAAAGAAAATCTCCAGAAGGGGTAGAACATCAAGAAACAGCAACTATATGCCAGGAAACCTGTTTTTATTGTCAAAAAAAAATGACAGGAAACAAACTGAAGACGAACCTAGGTGTTAGTAATTTGCAAGAACAGATAAGAAAACATAGTAAATCTTTCTCATTCGACTAGTGTTCCTTAAGGTAAGCTTCAAAATGGATCACTGTTAGAGTGAGGTGAGTCATTATTGTTCCCATTTTCAAGATCAAATGGAAACTTCAGAAAATAATTTTTACCTTTTTTCCAAAAAAGAAAAAAAAAGAAAAGAATCAATTTCCAATGTGCCTTTCTGCAAAGGCTTCCAAGGTGACTTACTCAGAGCTTCCTGGTAATATAAGTCATAACAAAAGCACATATTTGATGTAGTCATACAGGGCGGTCACTTGCTTTTACCTTAAATCACTGCAATAAGTCATAAATTAAAGTTTCCAGCTGTAGTTTTTCAATCCATTACCTCAATCCACCTGGCCTCACTCACCATTCAAACCTCACTCTGTTGTTGGCTCTTTTGTACTGACTCACGAACCTAAACTACTCCCTGAGTGGACCCACCTCAGATGTTCAATATCACTATCTATAGATATCAGGGTTGAAACAACCTGCAGGCAAATCAGCCTTTTGTCTACAAAACCAATGAACACATGGAGATCAGGGGTGCAACCACATTGTATAGATGATGATGATGATGATGATGATGATGATGATAAGGTAGAAGAATAGAAACATGCACTAGCAGATTATGTGAAAGGTAGTCAAGAACCAACATTGAGGGAAGTGCAAAAGACAAAGAGTGAATATCATAAAAACACAACCCAGAGCAGAAGAGAAAACTGACAAAAGAAGGCTCTCCATGGACAGTTCCTGGGGAAAATTGAAAGCCAAATAGACAAAGCAAAAACATAGATGTGGCTCATATATTGAACTTTGAAAAAGGAGACGGAGGATCTGATTCTGTCAGCCCAAGAACAAGCCATTAGAACAAATGCCATCAAACCCAGAATAGAAAAGTCAATGGCAGATCCCAAATGTAGACTGCAAGGAAGCAGATGAAACAATAGATCACATCCTTAGCTGCTGCAAGAAGATCACGCAGACAGACTACAAGCAGAGGCATAACACCGTTGCTCAGATGATTCATTGGAACCTATGCCACAAATACAATCTGTCTGTGACAAAGAACTGGTGGGATCACAAGCCGAAAAAAGTTACAGAAAATGAACATGTCAAACTCCTCTGGGACTTCCGAATTCAGACTGACAGAGTTTTGGAGCACAATACTCCTGACCTTACGATCGTGTTAAAAAACAAAGTATGGATCATTCATGTTGCAATCCCAGGCAACAGCAGGATTGAAGATAAACAACTGGAAAAGCTGACATGATATGAGGATTTAAAGATCAAACTGCAAAGACTGGCACAAGCCAGTAAAGGTAGTCCCGGTGGTGATCGGCACACTGGGTGCAGTGCCTAAAGACCTTGGCCTGCATTTAAACACAATCGGCACTGACAAAATTACCATCTGCCAGCTGCAGAAGGCCACCTTACTGGGATCTGCACACATCGTTCGCCGATACATCACACAGTTCTAGATACTTGGGAACTGTCCAACCTGTGATCCAATACAACAGCCAGCAGAGTGATCTTGTCTGCTGTGGACTCATCTTGTTGTGTTTCAAATAATAATAATAATAATAATAATAATAATAATAATAATAATAATAATAATTTATTTATATTCTGCCCTATCTCCCGGGGGGGGGGGGGGGGGGGGGTGTGGAAACAATGCGGATTCCAACAAACAAAAAGGCGAACACTCAATGCCTCAATCACAATAAGTACCAATGTAAAAACTACTGGTAGTGCCACAGCTGCATCCTTCAGAACACTGGGAGCTGTCATTTAGGCTGGATCTACACTGCCCTATATCCCAGGATCTGATCCCAGATTATCTGTTTTGAACTGTATTCTAAGAGTCCTTCCACACAGCCCTATATCCCAGGATATCAAGGCAGAAAATCCTACATTATATGAATGTGGACCCAGATAACCCACTTCAAAGCAGATTTTGTGGGGTTTGCTGCCTTGATATTCTGGCATATAGGGCTGTGTGGAAGGGCCCATAGACTCTTAGAATCCAGTTCAAAGCTGATAATCTGGGATCAGATCCTGGGATATAGGGCAGTGTAGATCCAGTCTTAGTGAAGTACATTCCCCTGATGGCAGTGAATGTTCAGTATTTCATAAAACTATGAATGTCAAAATACATGTAATGGAACCCATGGCCTCCACTTGTGTGTATGCATGTGTGTGTCTGACAAAGCTCTACACTAGGATGGGGAGGGGGTCTGGGATGAGGGGCATTTGGAGATGTTTTATCTCTTTTCTCTGGGGTCCCTTTATGAGAGTCACTTCTGTGCCATTCAGTCCCATAAGCCAAACATATGTTTGTTTCAAAATGGGACATGAGGAATGAATATAGCAGAGATCTGGTTAATGGGCAGGTGCTTCTGTCAGGGTCAGAAACTCCAATTTTTTAATTTTTTTGCTTAAGGGTTTTTTTTGGGGGGGGGGTCAAGAAATTAGACAATTCAAGCACAGGTGTGACTTTAACATCTGAGGTTTTGTGATTCTTATCAACTAGAGGAGATAGCCAACAGCAGTTTTTAATAACTTGATCTGAAATTTTGATGAAACTGGAGTTATTAAGATGCAAAATTTGGGTTTTGATCATTTAAAAACAGGTTGCTTATCCCTTACGTTTGAGAAAATTGTATGGACATTGTGATATTTGTATTATATTAAAGAATCTGAAATAACAGGAGACCTTCAAGAAGTGAGAAAAGTGTCTGTCTTGTGTTATTTCTTCTCTTTTTTTGCCCCTAAAAATCTTGGTCCTTCCTCCATATTCACTCATATAGCTTTTGTATTCACTGTACCCCAAGTTCTATACAAAAGATGCTGATTTTTGTTAAAATCCCAATAGGGAAAAGGAAATCAATATCAGAAGAGGAATGGATATGTATTTTTAAGCTCAGAATTTGGGGTGGCCTGGGTGGGGGTTTGAACAAATCACATCCAGATGGCCTCCGTATGTCTGCTTTTATTTCTATAAAGGAAGTATTTATCTCTTTCATTAGAAAATGTTCACATTCATAAGTGAAGTATAGCATAAAAGCACTGTGCCTCTGTGACAGCAAAGGGAAATGTATGTTTTCTTTGGCATTGTCTGTAGAGAAGCTCGACAACATAAATAAAAGAAGAGTCATTTCTTTCAGGATACACTCAGGGAGAGGAGAAGAAAGAAGGCTGAAAGATGGGATTTTCACATCTAATTTTTAGAAGAAGGGGAATGTTTAAAGATGTTAAAGTATGTGGGATTTCTTTTAGATATGCAGATCCCCAAATATCAGGAGGATAGTAGCTGGGGGAAGTGTGAGGAGGGGGGAAATTAAAAGGAAGATGAGGAATCAATCATGCCAGCAAATCACCAGCAGTGTACATGCTTTAATCCATTAATGTGGGATTTATCTGTGATCATAAAAGCAGGTTAGACTCAGCCTGGAAGCGTGTAGGTGGGAGGGGGAGAGGGAAAGAGTAAAAGCAGGAGAGAGAAAGACACACACAGAGAGAATGAGAGAGAGGAAGGAAGGTAAAGAGAATAAATATAATGGGTGAACTGCTGAGAAGCTTTAGAAGCAATAATTAAGAATCTCAGAAGAGCTGCTCTTCAGAATATCCTGCTTTCTCCAGAAGGAGACCGTGCCTTGGTCCTGGTAATTTATATATGTATCTCTTTATAGAAAAAACCCTCCGCATAGTTTTGTTGGGCATTCCCAATGTTTTTTGTGCATGTCTCTTAAAGCGTTGATGTGGAAAGAAGCAGCAGCGGTGGTGGTGGGGAAACGGCAGCTCTTCTAAAAATACCGAGGGCATGCAGGAGTGTGAGCAGGCTGGGGAGGAGGAGGAGGGTGTGAGAGTGCCTCGCACCATGTTTTCTGGATGCCAGCTGGGTGCAGTTTTGGAAATGTCCCTCCTGTGAATGGAGGCACCATGAACATTTGGGAAGTGATCCTGGCTTTCTTGATTGTGGTACTCATCCTTGTCTCGTTGCTGTCCAATGTGCTGGTGCTGATCTGCTTTTTGTACAGCGCAGATATCCGCAAGCAAGTCCCGGGATTGTTTATCCTCAACTTGACCTTCTGCAACTTGTTGATGACTGTTTTGAACATGCCCCTGACCTTGGCTGGGATCATTTACAAGAATTCGCCAGGAGGAGACCAGCTTTGCCATATTGCTGGTTTTCTGGAGACTTTTTTGACCACCAACTCCATGCTGAGCATGGCAGCTCTCAGCATAGACCGGTGGATAGCAGTGGTTTTTCCTCTGAACTATCATTCCAAGATGCGCTACAAAGATGCTGCTCTCATACTGAGCTACACGTGGTTGCATTCTGTGTCTTTCCCTATAGTGGCAACTTCTCTTTCTTGGGTGGGGTTCCATCACCTTTATGCCTCTTGCACCTTGTACAACAAGAAACTGGAGGACAGAAAACAGTTTATGATTTTCACTGGGGTCTTTCATACCTTCAGCTTCCTTCTCTCTCTTGTAATCTTGTGTTTCACGTATCTCAAAGTGCTGAAGGTGGCACGATTTCATTGTAAAAGGATTGATGTGATAACTATGCAGACCCTTGTACTGCTTGTGGACATCCATCCCAGGTAAGAAGATACCTGTGTCCTTGACTGGCAAGGTTACACACCGAGGATTCCTATAGAGAGAGAATATGTAATTTGATAGCAGTACACACAATATATAATCCATCTATGTCTCATTACTTTAATCCTTTGTTATTTCTACTCTGCATGTTTTTATTCTCAGGTCTTTTTATAGTTTAAAAAATGAATTGCTAATTGTATGCTCTAAAAGTTAGGATTCCTTTATGCATTTGTGTTGAAATGGAAAACTGTTAGCACAGAAACACACCCCCATTTGGGATTTGTGTTTAAATATTTGCTATTTTCCCCTATAGTGAAAAGATCATTTCAAAGATCCATGTACATTTATTAAAGTCAGTCAGTAATGTTCTAGGGTGAATTGAATCAAAACTGTAATATCCATAATCAAACCTCTAAGTAGTTGGTAGTGGAAAAGCAGCATACTGAATGCCATTCTGGTTTCTATGCATTTTTTAATGTCCCCATGGAACCAATAACTTTCTTTTTCTTGACAAAAAGATGCCTGGAGAAATAATATTCCAAAATTAACATGAGCTACTGACTAGGTACAAATACATCCAAAATAGCATTAAGATTCAAATGCATACTGACAAGCAAATGAAAGTTGAGTTAAATGTGCTCAGGAGTCCTTAAATCAACCCGTATTTTCTAGGTATAGGAAATCAGCCTCAAACCAAGAAAGAGGAATGTAAGAAGAACTAGTAGGAGAGAGAATGATAACCAGGGGGAGGTGCAAAAAAGAAATGTCATAGAGAATGAGGGAAGTTAACTAGATGATTTGTGAGGTTGAGAGCTTCGAAATAAGATGTGAGAAGATCTGACGGGGAAATTGGTGTGGCTAACTTAACTAGTGTAAAGGTTGGTGGGAGATAAAGACAGCATTAGGAAAAGGAAAAGCTGGATGGACTAGGTTTTACTAGAACAGTTCAGCTGATGGTTCAAGGAAGGGAGTGTACTATCACCAGGTATGTGCTGAGAGAAAGAAGTCTCTGGTGTGAGGGGGAAGTTTGGTTCTATGGTAAAACTCTCACTGGTGGAAGAAATAGAAATTAAGGTACAGTTAGGTTTTTCTACAGTGTGTGTATTAGTGTTAGTAGAAGACATACTAATAATATGGTTTAATTGTTTGTCATTGCTATGTTGATTGAGTCGTTGTCATAATTATTCAGAAAAATTATATTAAAGGGATTAATATGGTCTCAAGAGAGAAAAAGAATGCTTGAGTACACAGAAAAAGAAACATTTAAAAGTCTAATAATACTTACAGTCCTTTAGACTGTTCAAACTTCTTCAGACACATTACTGGTGACAGAATTCAAAGCCAATGTCACATTAGTCTGTATTATAAGTATGGTAAGGGATCTTGAAACACCTTTGAGACTGAAAGAAGTTGTAGCATCTACACTGTAGAATTAATGCAGTTTGACATTACTTGAACTTCCATTTGTCAATTGAATCTTGGGAGTTGTTGTTTGGTGGGTCACCTGCACACTTCAAGACTCCTTCCACACATTTTCTGCTTTGAACTGGAATATATGTGGACTCAGATAACCCAGTTCAAAGCAGATATTGGGGGATTTTCTGCCTTGATATTCTGGGTTATATGGCTGTGTGGAAAGGCCCTGGGAGAGAAGGCTAAATACTTTCTAAAACTATCATTTCCAGGATTCCATAGCATTGAACCATGGCAGTTAAAGTGATGTCAAGCTGCAGTCATTCTATAGTGCAGTGGTTCTCAACCTGTGGGTTTCCAGATGTTTTGGCCTTCAACTCCCAGAAATCCTAGTAGCTGGTAAATTGGCTGGGATTTCTGGGTATTGTATGCCAAACTACTGCTATAGTGTATTACAATGATGTAACCTAGGTCTATGAAAGCTTATATTATAATTTATTTCTCTCAGGCTGAAAGGTGCTGCATATGATTGTGATATTTATACCAACCTGGTAAGGCGCATCTTAATCCCCACAACTCAAGGTTACAGGAGTACCCAGTGCTATCTAATAACAGTTGCAAATCTTATTTTCAAACTGTGAGCTAATTGATCAGTCCCTCTTGAAAGCAAATGGTGCTCAACACTGAGGATCTTTGAATGCCTTTTCCAACATTTCCTTTTATTGAGAATTGGGTGCAGAACTCTAAATTGGATTGGGGCTGTTGGACTGCTGAAGATTAGCCTAACCAAACTTTCTTCCATTCCCCCTCTGCAGTACAAAGTAATCTGTTTTCTCTCTATTGCACGTAATAATAATAATAATAATAATAATAATCGGCACACTGGGTGCAGTGCCTAAAGACCTTGGCCTGCACTTAAACACAATCGGCGCTGACAAAATTAACATCTGCCAGCTGCAGAAGGCCACCCTACTGGGATCTGCACGCATTATTCACCAATACATCACACAGTTCTAGACACTTGGGAAGTGTCTGACATGTGATCCAAAAACAACAGCCAGCATAGTGATATTGTTTGCTATGGACTCATCTTGATGTGTTTCTAATAATCATCATCATCATCATCATCTATATAAATAAAAATGTAATGTTCATTTGTGGGATTAACATAACTCAAAAACCACTGGACGAATTGACACCAAATTTGGACACAATACACCTGTCAGGCCAACGAGTGACCATCACTCATAAAAACACTGAAAAACATAGGGGAAGGGACTTAAAAATCTAAAAAGGCAAAAAGATGCTACAGCGCATGCGCAAAACCACATATATACACATACATACACACACAAAACACATAATCACACACTGGGCCACAGCAACGTGTGGTAGGGAACAGATAATAGTAATAATAATAATAATAATAATAATAATAATAATAATAATAATAATAATGCTTTATTTGTAAACTGCCTTATCTCCCTGAAGGGACTCAGGGTGGTTTTCAACAAAATAAACACAATGGCAAGCATTCAAGTTATAGCTGAAGGGCAGTTAAATTTACAAGTGGGGAAAATTCAGTCTTCTTACTTTTGCAACCTGTTCCCAGTCTCACCTTAAGCCCTGTAACTACTTTTCAGATACAAATAAAACCATCTTGCATCAGATATATTTGGGGCTTAATCCATTTTGCTGCATTAGTGGTTACAGATAGATAAACTAGGAAACTACTCTCACAAAGCATCAATGATATTTGAGCAATAGGTAACACTGAGCAAAAAAAAAAGTACAGGAAAACAAGCCAGTTGATATTGCTATAAGATGATCTATTTCACAATGAAAGTTATATATATCAAAGAATAGGTGTATTTGGAACAGCCCAGCTTCAAAGTTTTACAGTGAGAACAGTGCAATAAAGGTAACCCAGGGAGTCAGAAAGTTTTAACATCTTCAGCAACTGCATAAACAGAAATATCACAGGTGTGCTTGGAATTAATTTTTCAAAAATATGTGTTCATCAGCCAAGGCATTGATAAGGTACTGAGCAAATTTGAGATTGACTGTTGTGAATACCTTATTAAAATCAAGATATAGAGAAGGTTACATGGCACACCAAGGTGCTCCCAACTTACAAGGGGGAAAAACATTTGGTTTAAAAGAAAGAGACATTGCCTTGATTCTAGTATGAATGTGTGTAACAATCAACAACTCCCTTTTGGCTTTTGTGCTCTCTTCCTTCTGATTATTTCTCTGGCATAGCAATAAGGAGGACCTAAATTCCCTATAGGTATCAGTTCCCATATGACATTGGGAGTTGTGTGGAATCAGGTTTAGTTAGTATTTGGATGGGAGACCACAAATACCAGGTGCTCTAGGCTATATTTCAGAGGAAGGAACTGACAAAACTATTTCTGAATATTCCTTGCCTAAGAAAAACCTTTGGAATTCATTAAGTCTCCACAAGTCAACAAGTGACTTGAAGGCACCTGACAAAAGGAGTTCTAAAGTATTGCTCCTTAAGCCCAAACTGATGTTTAGCTCCTATTAATTTTTAAAAGGAAACTATATCAACTATAAGTTTAATTTGGCTTGTTTTACTTAGCCATACTTTATACTAAAATCATATAGAATCATAGAATCATAGAGTTGGAAGAGACCTCATGGGTTTCTGGATTAGGACATAATGCTTAATCTAAAATGGAAGAGAAAGCTTCCAAAATCCTGTGCCAGAGGAGGAGATGGGCCAAAGGAAAACATGACCCTGTGGGTTGCCATATTTTGCTTCCATAAAAACAAAAAGTTTTTTTTACTTCAAAATCAAGCTATTGAAAGAAACAATGGACTTTTAATGCTGCACCAAACTACAAAGCAGGACTGAGCCAGAATGGAGGTCAGAGTCATGTTGTTTCTGTTGGCATGGGGGGGGGGAGGGGGGGAGGAAGAGGCACTAGTGTTACTGATGCAGGGAAATGCTGTTGTTGTTATAAGCCTACAAGTTAACTTTGACTTAGGTGACACTATTATAGGATTTTAATGGCAAGAACTGCTGAGAGAAAGTTTGCTTCAGCACTTGCTCTTCCCTGGTGGTTTTTCCCTTGCAAGTCCTAACCAGACCTGACCTTGCTTATCTTCCGAGATGTGATCTGGTGTCTTCAGAGTATTTAGGCTCATTGGGTGATACTTATTGTATATACTCGTGTAATTAAGTTGACTTTGTGACACCAACATTTTGAATTTTGATATGACCTGTGAATAAGTTGAGGGTCATTCTTAGAGAAGGGGAAGCATTAATGGCAACTCAATGGGCCATCCGCCACATTCACTGCCATTTACCCATGTGTTCAAAAAGACCTGAAGAATATGGCAGAGAGACTAGAGAGGGTCAATGCTTCTTTTAGATTCTCTTGCGATAGATTGAATATTTTCACCATTCCTACACAGAGAAGGGGATGGATACTTATTTTAAAATAAGAATTAAAGTTAGGGTACCTATGTTTTTGGGTCAATTTATCCAGAGGTCAGTGTGAATATTGTCGCTTTTAAAATATTTATTTATTTATTTGTGGCATTTGTAGCCCGCCTTTCT